TCACAGAAGTACTTCCTGCTGGCAGCTCTAGAAAACTACCCTGGAAAACAAGCTCCAGGAGAAGAGACTTTTTTTTTTTTGTCTTTTTCGTTTTTATCGGTACCAGGGATTGAACTCACGACTGCCTGCTTGCAAGGCAGGCGCTTATGCTGCTGAGCTAAATCCCCTGCCCCGAGAAGAGACTTTGAGAGAAGGGATTTTGGGGAGATGAGAGGAACAAAGAGTAGGAAGTCATCTTTCAGACTTAAATTTACCAGAAGTTATTACTTCTTCATTTGCATTTCTTTTCCTTATCAAAGTAACACGCACACTTGCAGTTACACAATGCTTTGTGCAGTTGCTATGAGACCAGCAGCTCTTGTCTGTGTGTGACTTGGCACATGCCTGCCTTCCCGCTCTGAAAGCAACAGAAGGCACCGGGAATTACTCAAATGTTCACAAGAATGTCAGAGGGAGTTCTGAGTAATCACAATTCCTGCAGCGTCTTGTGGGAAAATGCGGTCCCAGTTTCCTTTTAGAGACAACAGTCATTGAAAGTTTTGCCACAAGAGTTTTCCTTTATGGCTGGAGAATGGCATAAACGCACGTCCAAGGAAGACCCCTGTGCATGAGAAATCCTGCCACTGGGACGTCCTGCCCGAGGGACACGGCACACTGCAAGCCTCCTCTCAGGTCCCAGGGCCCTCCATGTGATCACCCTGATCCAGCCGTGAATGTTTTGGGTACCTTCCCTTTGGACTCAGCCTTTGGCATCTTCCCTCTGCCTCTGTTCTCTTGTACCTCTAGGTACCTCCTAGGTGGGACCTCAGACACCACATGTCCACAGGGACGAGTGACTTGCCTGCAGTGAGGGTGGCAGTCAAAGTCTCTCTCCAGTGCCACATTTTGGCTGAGCTCCAGTCCCCACCTGCCAGGCTGACCTTAGATTTACTAAAGAGAAACCAAACAAAGAAAAAGAGATGAGAAAGGAAATAAAATAAGTCAACCCAGGCCAGGCACCTTGCCCTCTCTCCATGGTCAGGAATGGCCATGGTGGCCACTGCCCCAGCTGCGGTGTCCAATCCCTGGAGCAACCACAGGTGGGGATTTCCAGCCAGGGAGGAGGTGCTGGGTTTGGTAGAGCCTTCGGTGTGGATGTCTGCCATACCCATTCTGTGGGGACAACCTGACCATGGACATCCTGACCTAAGACAGTTTGGCCGAGGGCCATGAGTGGTTGCTCACTCCTCCTGGCCTGGTGATGCTCAGAGCATTTGTCACAAGGCTTTCCTTTAAAGAACACGACAGTAGTACAATAGCAGAAACCCTAGTCAGGCATGGTAGGACATGCCTAGCACTCAGGAGGCTGAGGCAGAAATATTTAAATGTGAGGATGGCCTGGATTACATAGTGAGACGGTGTCTAAAAAACAGAAAAGAAAGAAGAAAGAATACTAGGGAAACTCTTTCCCGAGTCTCAACCAATACCAGCTATTTATAAGCCTAGAAAAATCCAAGATACCCAATGAATGGCCCTATTCCTTCAAACAGGGATTGCGCCCATCTTCCCAGAAGGATGGAGAGGTCCATGGGGCACAGGAAGCTCTCTGCCCCGGGTGGCCATCAGTTACTCTATGGAGACCCAGCTCCTTTCCAGGGCCACCAAGGTCACCCACCTGCTCACAGAGCAGGACAATAGGGACACCCACATCAACAAGGACAGGCAAGGGGGCTTTGTAGCAGCTTCGCTGTGTGTTTCTCATTCCCTCATCTCAGGGAGAAGTCTAAGGACCTGCTAGGACTGGGGACAGAACTGACTTCCCTTGTTCCAGTGCTGCCCAGACTCCTGGGGAGCCTCCCTCTGAAAAATGCACGCAGAGCAGTTTCACCCCTTTGTGAGGGAGCTCTGGTAAGCGCTCGGCTGAGTCACAGTCCCCGTGACACATGACTTCAGAGTGCCCAGAAGTATGACAGGCACCTCAGCCTCCCCACCCTGAGGGGCTCTGGCCTAGCCGCTGTCAACTCCGAACCAGGAGCCCAAGATCAGTCTTCCGGTTTTCTCGCCACCTCTGTCAGTTCCTACCTTCCCGAGCCCCAGCCAAACCCGGCACATTCCTTGAAGGCAACTCAGCTGCAGGTGACCTTGGTGGCAGTGTTGTTTGAATGACCATTTCCACCTTTCTCTAGGAGGAGCAAACCCCCTTGCAGGCCTCCCCAGAGAGTTGCAAGGTGGGAAGTGTTCTTACTTGGGAGTGGGGACATCAGATCTGGTCCCAACAGCCTGCTGGTGGCTCAGTGATTCCTGAGCTCGAGACACATGGCTGATGGGCACAGCGGCTAGGTGAGGGTCAGTCTGGGCCCCACGTGCTCCACAGAAGCATCCACCTGGCATCCCCATCCCATCTCCTCGTGCAGGAGCAGGCAGCCAGCTGGAAGCCAGGCAGCTGGTGGCTTGTCGGTGTCAGGCCAAGGCCTGAGTCATGGTGCTGTCACAGCCCTCAGTGGAGGACTGACCCGCAAAGGAAATTACACAGCATGCCATGGCCCGTGGGGGAGCCAGGGGCTTTTCCAAGAGTGGTGACTGAGAAGGCAGAGAGCAGTATCAACCCCACTGGAGGCTGAGGCCAAGGGGAGAAGCGGGGGACACTGCCCCAGGTACCCATGTCAGAGCTGCGTGCTCACCGACCCAGCCTTGATCCACACAGTTCCAGCACCCGCAGCCCCCGGTCCCTCCACTGCTGCTCACTCAGAATCCACACCCTCAGTCAGAAAGACTGGATTCTGGACATAAATGCTTACTGGGCTCAGCGATGCCACTCAGTCACTCAGGAGGCTGAAGCAGGAGGATTATTTGAGGTCAGGCACTTAGGGACAGCCTAGATAACATAGTAAGATTCTGTCTCATTAAAAAAAAAAAATTAGACCAGGCATGATGGTACACATCTGTAATCCTTGCACTTGGGAGGCCGAGGCAGGAGAATTGCTTCGAGTTTAAGGGCAGTCTGGGCTACATAGTAAATTCAAGTCCAGACTGAAATACTTAATGAAAACTTGTCTCAAAAATCAGTCAATCGATGGAAGCTGGGGGTTTGTTTCAGTGCAAAGGTGTTGGGTTCAATTCCCAATATCCTTCCCAAAATTAAACACTTTGTGCCTCAGTTTCCTCGTCTGTAAAAAGTGGTGTTGAAATTCCACTGGCCAGGAGTACGGTGAGGATTCACAGAGTAGACGCCAAGGGCCTGGGCTGGGGCTGGTGCAGAGCAGGTGTGCTGTACATGTTCCTTGTTCTCAGTCTCTCTGATGCAAACTCCAGGTCGGCACCCACCCTTGGGCTCAGCCCTGTTTTTCCCTCTCCTTCCCCAACATCCAGCCCCTCATGCTCCATGCAAATGTGTGGCTGGAGGAGGAGACAGAGGCTCATCATGATTCATCCGCGTAGTTTGAGGGCGGCCCAGTTTGAAACACCATGGTAAAGGGCAGACCACCAAGACGGACTCTTTCCATCCTGCGCTCACTGCATACAGCTGTGTGGGGGGCAGGGGCAGCAGCATTCACTGAGCACCTACTGTGTGCCTGGCTGGGCTAGGCCTTGCACGCATGGCATTGTGCTTAATCCGTGTGATTTGCATGGGCTTTTCTGTGTCATTCAGCGTGGCTTTCACACAGCCACGCTCAGCTGGGGTGGGAGTGCAGATGGCTGTTTCTATTTTTGTCTCCCTGTCAGAGGGTGCTGTGCTCTGGGGCCCTTTGTCTCTCTTGGCACTTTCCCCTGCATCCGGCTGCTGAAACTCAAGGCTTTGGGTTTGTGAAGGGAGCAGTTGTTTTGTATCCAGACACATCATCCTCCTCCCTCTGAGCCTAGCATGAAGCAGCCTCTTTCAGGAGAAGCATCTCCTACTTCCTGGACTGGACTCAAGGACCCATGCATTTTCCTGGAACCTAGAAGCCACCTGGGCTAGGACTTGCCCCTTGCCCTCAGCAGCACAGGGCTCACTGGGACTGACAATCCCTTTCTGCTGCAGCAGGCGTTGAAGAACAGACCAGGGCCCTGATGGTCCGGGGGCTCCCCTGGGGCCCTGCATGGGGTTGCAGTTGATTTGTTCTAGTCTGTTCCACTCCTGGCTGAGCTCGAGAGTGCAGCTGGGGGTCACAGGTGCAGTGATGTTTCCATCTAGGAAGAACTTAGAGCTTTTGTGTGTGTGATTTCTTTCTCCGGGTGTGGGGATCAATCTTGGGCCTTGAGCCTGTTAAACAAAGCTGTACCAGTAGCCACACCCCACCCCTCTTGCATGTGGTCTTGTGTATGCTGTGTATGTGTGTGAGGGTGTGTGTGTTTATGTGTGGTACTGCATTTTGAACGCCCAGCCTTTATACTGAGCTACATTTCCAGTTCTTTTTATCTTTTTATTTTGAGACAGGGTCTTGTATTGTCCGGACTAGACTCACATTTGCCATCTTCCTGCCTCAGCCTCAAAGAGCGCTGGGATTACGGGTGAGCCCTCCTCCCACGTCCAGCGCTGAGTATCTTCTGAACCTCACTTGGAGCTGCTTTCTTCCACCGAGTGCCACAGGGCTGGTCTAGGTATCTGGCATTTGGGGTAGAGGAGGCAAGTCCCTGGTTCTGAGGCCATCCCTCCTCAGGGAATGAAGACCAGGGAAGCCATGGCCCCGCATAAGGATAGACTGGCTGTGGACACTGAGGAGGAGGCACAGTTTTTGTCTCCACCTGCTGCGATCTTCTCAAGAAAACACCATGAATCTCCCTTGCTGGGCTTACCTTGGGGCAACACTTAAACACCATCATCCCCCACACCAGCCATGGCTCCGGGGCTTCCCAAAGACAAACTCATTTAATCCCCATGATACCCTGAGATGTAATCCTGGCACTTGGAAGACTGAGGCAGGAAGATCGCTGCAAATTCAAGGCCAGTGTGGGCTACAACAAGACTTCAAAGCCAGCCCAAACTACATAGTGAGACCCTGCCTCAAAAACAGCAAGAAGCAAAAAACCAAAAAACCTGAGAGAGTGATTATTTCCATTTTATAAAGGAGAGGATAGAGGCACAGAGAGGCTGAGAGACCTGCCAAGATCATACAACTAGGAGGTACCCAATAAATTGGCTTCTCTTCAATTCTTTGTCGGTAGAAAATGAGATTGGTTTTTTTTTTTTGTTTTTTTTTTTTTTTTTTTTTTGTCTTTTTCCTTTTTATCGGTACCAGGGATCGAACTCACAACTGCCTGCTTGCAAGTCAGGCGCTTATGCCGCTGAGCTAAATCCCCAGCCCCGAGATTGGTTCTTAATGCTGTGCTCTACACATGGGTTTAGGTACCCTCGATCCAGCTTCCTTGTTCTTTTGCTTTAAAAAAACAAAAGGTAAACTTTTCTTATTGTCATTTTAAAGTAATTTTCGCCCATCAAGATTTTTCTTCAGGTAGAACTCGGTACAGGGGCAGGGGCAGAGTCGCCGAGCAGGGTCAGAGCCATGTGTTGTACTTACGCCGAGCACTTCCTGGACAGAGGGCCTGGCTCTCCAGCGGGCAGGAAGGTATGTGACTGAGGACAGCCAACCCAGTCTCCAAGAGAGAGTCTGCTCTCCACAAATGGGTCCAGGGACGCAGGACATTTTAGGGTGACAATTTGTGACTTGCAGGACATCTGATTGAAGCTATTTTTACACTTGTCTTTCAACTTCAAAATTAAAACCACGTAAACATCAGCTAGCTGTGCCCTACACATGTCCTCCCTGATGTGCCTGGCGCATGGGAAACTCCTGAGCAGAGGTGTAGGGTCAAGCTTAACCCTAACTCCCTGGGGGCTCTTCCAGGGTGGCTTTGGGTCACCTGAAGGTGCCACATGGTTCTCTGTGTCCATCTCTGAGCTGTCACTGGTCTCAGGTTCACCCAGCCAGGTGTTATGGATCAGGGCCTCTTCTTGGCACACTGGTCCTGCAGTCACCCTATGGCTTTGCAACAGCCTGGCCTGGCCTTTGTGGCAGTCTCTGTATCAAACTCTCTGAATTACTTACTGTGCATGTGCGTGTGTGTGACACACCTGACTCCTGCCCATTACACTAGCCATATGCACAACAGCTATCTCAGGTCCTCTTATTATACACCTACCCTAACCCGTTCCAAAATGGTCTTCACAAAAGCCACTCTCCATTCTGGACTCCTAGGCCCAGAAGACTCCAGCTGGGTGGACTGAATGGAAGGGATGGCCTGGTGTGCCTGGTGCTGTGACTCCCTCGTGGCAGCAGCCTGCAGTGGTTCCCGCACATTCCTTGAGCTGGAGCCCAGGTCCTGCCACAGGCCACTCAGGGCCACTCCTCCGGCTGGCTCTGGCCATGGCTGGCAGGTAAGGGGCTGGGGTCCTGCCCAGTCCTTAGGGAACCCGGTAGTAGGAGATGTGTGGTTTGGGGCCTGCAGAGATGCTCCAGGAACTTTCAGAGAGCCTGTCAGTTTTCAGAGAAACAGGAAACACTCAAAGGCCAGTCCACATTCAGTAAAGGCAGCTGCACAGGTAGCACCCTGGGCTTCACATGAGACCGCTAAATTTTGCTGTGGCCTCTTCCCCAGCTGCACCGATGTGCAGACTCAGGCCAGGGCAGGGACTGCAGTGCCAAAGAACTTGGGCTTGGTGACCTGCAGGAGAGACTGGGAGCTTCTACCAATTTGCTAAACACCAAGAGTTCAGGGGGACGTGGCACAGGCAGAGGCCACAGTGGGGACAAAGGACAAGGAAACTGATGGGCCTCTAACTTGTTATTCATTAAAAGCATGATTTGTGCTGGGCATGGTGGTACATGCTTATAATCCCAGCACTCGGCCAGCCTGGACTACACAATGAGTTCAAAGTCAGCTGGAATTACATAGCAAGACCCTGTCCAAAAGGAAAAAATAAACAGCGTGTTTTTTTAGGCCACGTGGGCCTAATGTGTCCGGTAGGAAGCTAGGAATAGAACAAACTTGACCTTCGCTTTGTATCCTTTACCACCTCAAAGCTGGATATAGATGTGTTACCATTTAGGAAAAGTCGATAGAAGAAGCTTAGATAGGGGCTGGGGGTTTAGCTCAGCGGCATAAGCACCTGCCTTGCAAGCAGGCAGTCATGAGTTCGATCCCCGGTACCGATAAAAATGAAAAAGAAAAAAAAAAAAAAAAAAAAAAAACAAGAAAAAAAAAAAAAGAAGAAGAAGCTTAGATAGTCCTGAATTTCCCTTAACCTTCTCATCCCTTCCAAGACCAAGGACATCAAGATAAGAGTAACTAATTTTCGTGATGCACAGAGACATCTCACCTCCCACTCTTACAACATCTAGTCCCAGGGGCCCGGAGAGTTGGAACTTGCTCATGCGTTGCAGAGCTGAGTCCAGGGCTCTGGTCTTACCTTGGCTGCCGGAGCTCTTTTCCCAGCAGTTTCTATAGCTGTTTGCTGAAGGCCTGGAGTCTCAGGTCAACGATGATTGGCCCAAAACTGGTTGTACAGAAGCTGAGAAGGGATGATTGCTGGCATATTAAAGAAAGTAAAGACCCCCCCCCTCCCTAATCACCTCTGCAAAGTGATTGTTTTCTTTGAAATCCTGTCTCTCGGCTCTTCCCAGCTAGCTCCTAAATGTTGCCAGTCATCTCTTACCAATCCACGTTTTCCATGTGCCTTCCTTCTCCCTGTACCACACAGACCTCTGAGCATTTTCCACCTCCATTCAGAGCCCGAGGAGGAACGAGTGATGTGGATGGACAGTCATGCTAGGACAGGAGCTCGGAAGCCCCAGGTGTGGGAGAGGAGCAGGTCAGTACTCCGGGCCACTCCACTGGCACACAGAGCTCTTGGTGCTGAGTTGGGAGGTGCTGACTAGGATTGTTCCTGCCTGGTAAGCACAAGGTCCTTAGTTCGATTTCCAGGACAAAAAAAAAAGCCATTTGTGGAGCAGAACAGATAAAAAGATTTTCCTCGGTCCCCTCACACACCCAAAAGATTTCCTATCCTTCCCACTACCCTACAACTATTAGTAATGATTGTACTACTGAGTATGTACTTTGTCAGTTTGTTTGTTTCTCCTTTGTTCCTCCCTTTTGGTGGTACCGAGGATCAAACCTAGGGCCATGCTAGGCAAGCTCTGTACCACTGAGCAGTACCCCAATGGCTGTATTAGTTTAGTTTTGTTTTTTTTGAGACAATGTCTCACTATGTAGCCCAGGTGGACCTCAAATACATGGGGATCCTCCTGCCTCTGCATCCTGAGTGCTTGGGATACACCACCATGTTTGGTCATGGTTGTATTACTGAGAGCCTGCCATGGCCACACATTCATGTGACATCTTTCAGTAATACAGATTGAAAGCCAGGAAGGTGCACACCTATAATCCCAGCACCCATGAGGCTAAGACAGGAAGATCGTGTGTTTGAGGCCAGCCTGGACTGTACAGTGAGACCCTATCCCAGAAACAAAACAAACAAAAAACCACCCCAGATAGGAATTACCCCTCCTCACCTAACGCTGGGCTGGGAGAAGCCTTCTCAGACTGTACCTTGAGCCACCCAGTGGCCTCTGGGACAAAAAGTGAGAGTTAAGAGGACCCAGAGAGGACAGCATCTAGCCTGACCTGTGCCTACCCTGGCCCTGCTGGCCAAGCTTGGCTATGCAAACAGGCTGCAAACAATGGGGCTGGAAGGCAAGCCAGAAAGATAGGAAAAGGCCTTTCCTTATCCAGATCACAGGGCCAGGTTCCCTGCGGAGCTGGGACAAAGAGTTCCCAGTGAGATTCATTGTAGCGGCTGGGCAGAATGGGCTCTGTGCCAAGGCTGGACCCGCCCTTCTCAGGGAAGGAGCTGGGCTGTCTCTCTGCATCTGTGGACAGAACAGAACAGAACAGAACAGAACAGCGCTTTGAGTGAGCAGGAGAGCAGGTCTCAGTTTGGAGCTGCCGGCATGTCAGGCAGCGCTAGCTGTCGAAGCCAGCGCCTGACTACTGCCCATGACATTTGCTAGGTTACTCACCTCACTCACGTCTTCATCAAGGAAAAATGAAATACTGAAAAGTCTTGGGAAATCTGGGAGGCTCGTTACAGGAATAACTCCCAAAGGTGACTCACAGAAGGAACCAGAAGTGTCGCAAGCACTGTGCTCTTCGCCCTACAGAAGTGGATTGAACAAAAGCCTGAGTGCTGAGCTCACTGCAGGAGCAGGGCTTAGTTTCCATAGACTAGGGCTGGCCAGAAGAGCGTTCTCACGTTTTCAGAAGCACTAGGGACTGGAACGGCGAGTGACAGGTTGTGACTGTGCGAGAAGACCAAGGCTGCTTAGGGCCAGGTGGCCACAGAATTTTCTGGAAGGCCAGGAAATGCTGAACCATTAATCCCCCTCAGGAACAGCAGCAACTGTGCTAACAGAAAGCTCGCCTACGAGTACGACGTGGAATCACAAGCACTTTCAAACACAGCTTGATTAATGGTTTCCTCCTCTCCCTTTTCATATCCATCTGCTCTTGGTGTATGTGCTATTATATAAAACATATGAACATGAACTATGATTAGTCAAGAAATTGGAAGGACAGAAATGAAGTTTTGTGTTCTTGTAGTGGCTCGCTTTGCCAAATTATTTAAGCTGTTCGTTTTCTTTTTAAAGTACTTTCCAAGATGATAGTCTCTTCTTAGCAGCAATCGTTTGCCTAATTTTGCACAGGCCTCATAGAGTGAGGGTTTCAGCCAACAAGCGTGTGGCCAGCTTCAGAAGACCCCAGCTTTGTCGCCATCTGGATCACCCACTGGCTGAGGACGTCTATGAGTGACTCAGGCTGAAGTTGGGGAGTCCTGTCCATGGGTCCCAGGAAGATTCCTGAGGCGGGGACTCAGCCTGGGGCTGCCTCAGCCACAGGGAGCTCAGCACTGGATTTGTGTGTGTGTGTGTGTGACCCTAAACTAACGCGCATGCACACACACACACACACACACACACACACACTAATGTTTGAAGATTCGTCTCCTTCCTTACCCAGACACAGTCTATTAAAAAGAGGCTGCCTTGGGGCGGCACTGGCCTTCAGTGGGCCCTGGGCATCCTTCCATGCAGATTGTCCCCCCTAGGCTGAAAGTTCTTGAGAACAGGAGCCCTGACAGGCTTTTGTGAAATTACTTATAACACTTTAAAAACATGGACTTGAAAAGAAACCTAATGTACCACGAATACTTGACACCATTTTAAAGTGGCTTCCAGTTTGTTGGGTGGAAGTGTGTTTTACAATCTGCGTGTCTTCCTCTGTATTTCTCATTCTGACTTCCTGTCTCGTGGTGCACACTGCATGCACAGTTCTGTGGGCTTTTGCTGCCCACTGCTGTGCAGTAAACCACCACAAATGAGTGGTAAAACGGCCTTGATTTACTATTCCTTGTGATCTGTGAGTCGGTAGGAAGAGTCCTTGGTCCAGCTGGAAGCTCAGCCGGGCACCCCCACTCCTCTCCTTTTGCCCCCGCTCCTCCATGCCCAGCCTGGCAGCCAGGACTTCCGGAAAGCATAGCAGCTGGGCTCAAGGTGGAGCTCTGTGCTCTGTGAGGTCAGCCTCGTGCGAGGCCCTCACAACACCTCCTGGAAGTCCTGTAGGCTAATGCAGCCACATGGCCAAGGCAGCGTCAGTAGGGAGAGGTCACAAGAGGACACACGAGTGCTGCCTCCTCGGAGGGCACCAGCTTCATGCTTCTTCCCAAAGACCGTTAGCAATTATATTTGATATTTTCCAGTGCAACTTACTGAGAGCAAATCTGATATCAAAACAATTACATTGCAGGGGCAGGATTTGAACTTGCACCACTGGGCCCCAGAGCAGACAGGAAATCCTTGTGGCTGAGCAAGCCTGCTGCCTAACGTGGCACTCGACCCTTGACCAGGCTGATCAGCCTCTCCCGTCTGGGCTGCCCTGTTAATGCAGCACGCCTTCTCCGATATTGATAGAGTCCTAAAATGCAGGGAAAGCATTTCCCCAGGGCACCTGTGCCAGCTCCAGGTTCTCTCTCTGGTGCCTCTCTGTGCAGGGACCCAGCCAAGCCCCCCTCCATCCCCACTCCCCCGCTGAGACAGGGGCAAGTGATCAGCCCTAGCAGGCCCACCGCCCTGGTGCTGCTTTAAAAGGTCCATTTCCTATTCTTTTAAAAATTGGTCATACACAGTTTTCTTTTCTCCCATTCAGGTCACACGTGTGGGCACAGGGGCTTGGCACACTCCGCACTCACTTTGCCCATCTTTCCCACAAAGCAGAGCCTTGAATGAAGCCAAGGAGCATAAACAAAACTCTTAGTGTAAATATTCCTACAGGAGCCCCACCAAAATAAATTCCAGCCAGACAAAGTTAGGCATAAAAAAGCAAACAAAAAATCAGAACATCTGTTTTTTTGTTTGTTTATTTATTGTATTTTATTTTATTTTTGTCTTTTTGAGACAAGGTCTCACTGTGCAGTTTAGGCTGGCCTTGAGTTCACTTTATAGACCAATCTGTTCTCAACGTTGCAAGGATCCTCCTGCCTCAGCCTCCCAAGTGCTGGGATTACAGGTGTGTGCACCATGAACACCTAACATCTGTCTTTTTAAAATGAAATAAAGTAAATAAATAATTATTAGAGATATGAATACTTTCTCGGTTTTTAAGAGAAGTAAAGAATTATATAAGAAAAGACTGATAGATTTGATTAAAAATGTATTAAGCCACACTGAGCTGAGACACATAAAAACCATTTCTATAGCAGCAAAGAAAATATATCCCTAAGCAAAGGCCTTTGGCTTCCATAATGTACTACAATGTTGACAATGAAATCCCTTCCAGGAATATTGTGGAAGCAGTGGTGTGCTCTGTGGAACAAAGTATACTGTACTTAGAAAACAGCATGAGATTACTGAGATGCAATATCATGATTAACTTTTCATTTGGGTCAAAAGTATGATTATAGAGCTGAATATGACCTTACATGCTGATAATCCCAACACTCTGAGAGGCTGAGGCAAAAATTCTAGCCCAGCCTAGGCATCTTAGCAATTTAGCAAGAACTTGTCTCAAAAATAAAAACTTTAAAAGGGGGTAGGGATGCAACTCAGTACAAAGGCCTGGGTTCAACAACAACAAAAATATTATTATTATTATTATTATTTTTGGTCTTTTTCCTTTTTATCGGTACCAGGGATCGAACTCATGACTGCCTGCCTGCAAGGCAGGTGCTTATGCCGCTGAGCTAATCCCCAGCCCCTCAAAAAATATTATTATAAAGAATTAAAAAATTAAATGTGGATGGTTGTAATTCTAGCACTCAGGAGGCTGAGGCAGGAGGATTGCTATGAGTTCAAGGCCAGCCTGGGCTATATAATGAGTGATATCTTATCTATAAATAAATAAATAAAACGTACTCATATACAGGGTGGTAAAGGTTAGAAATTTTTGGTGTATAGTTAAAATATATAAAATATTACTCCAATTTATAGAACAGATAAGTAGCTAGATCACAAGAGAAAAGTACAGTTGAGTATGAAATAATTTAGAAAGGCATAATGACCAAAGTAGCATATATCTAAAGATGTATTTTCCATCTATCAAATTAGCTGATTGAAAATATAAAATATCCAGGGTAAGAAAAAGTGCTGTTAGTCAGGTGAGGCAGTGCACACCTGTAACCCCAGGACTCTGGGAGGCTGAGGCAGGAGGATATTAAGCTCAAACTCAGCCTAGACAAGCGTGTTAGCATGCCCTATCTTAAAATTTAAAAGGGAGGCCTGAAAATGTAGCTCAGCCATGGATTCAATCCCAGTATTGAAAAACAAAACAAAACAAAATGTCCTTACTAACCTACTGCTGGGAGGGACACGTGTTTACATGTGCAAAGCAAGCCAGTTTAGCAATGTGAACACAGAAGTTTAGCAAGCTGGTGGCCTTTGACCCAATAAATGCTCTTACAAAATTCCATCCTGAAGCTATAACCTGAAATACTTGAAAAACTCTATATTCAACATTAGTTTTTCTTCCTCTTCCCTCCTCCCTCTCCTCCCCGCCCCTCCCCCCCCCCACCCATTGCTGCAGATGGAACTCAGGGTCTTGCACAAGATAGATAAGCACAGTACCTCTGAGCTGTATCTCCAACATTATTTTTTTTCTTTCTTTTTTTTTGGATACCAAAAATCGAACTCAGGTCTTTGTGCTTGTCAGACAGACACTGTGCTACTGAGTTATGTCTCCAGCCCCACATTATTTCCAATACTAAACAATGGGAGTAAACAAAATGTCTACTATTTAAAAAGTGGTTGGGTAAATTACAGCATTCACTCGGATTTTCTACAGCTACTAAGACTTACATTTAAATAATCTTTATAATGTGGCACTTGTTACACTAAAAATAGATAAACTACGTAAACAAGAAACTGCAGAAGTCATTCAAAACAGTCATTCTGGGGCTGGGGATACAGCTCAGAGGCACAGCAGCTGCCTGGCAAGTGTGAGGTTGTGAGTTTGATTCCTGGTACCCTGCGAAAAAGTCATTCTGAGAATTGCCTGCAGTCAAGATGATTTTCCAGTTTGGTGAAGGAAAGCCTAGCTGGATTTTTTCTTCCACTTTTTGGGCATCTTCTTCAAGAAATATGTATTTCTTTTATAATAAAGAACTAAGTGTATGAAAAGGAAGGCATTCACTGTATGTCAGGTAACCACGCTGCTACTTTTGATTTATTGCTGCTGGCCTCCAGGATCCTTGCTGGTCATCGAATTTTATGTTTTTCTTTTCTTTTTCTTTTTTATCGGTACCGGGGATCGAACTCACGACCACACACTTGCAAGGCAGGCGCTTAGGCCGCTGAGCTAAGTCCCCAGCCCCACATTTTGTGTTTTTCAAGTTTTTGCCCAATGTCCCCCACAGGCTCAGCAGCCTCGATGGTGAGCAGGGCCGCAGAAAGGGGTGATGGAGGGGGCTGATGCAGGTTTGCGCCCAGAGCTAGGGGATCCTGGAGCCCGACTGGAGGCAGGAGAGTGAGAAGGAAGTGGCTGCTGAAACTTCACAGGGTTTTCAATATAAATGTTGCAAATTAAAAATAAAAGAATTCTGGAACCACAGCATATTTGTTAAAAAATATTCATTAGGCAACTAATCACGAACACAGAGCAGAGGAGGCAGGCTTCGTGGGTGTGGCAAGGAGGCGGGGCAGGTCCTGAAGGTCCCGAAGGCAC